CTCTCTCTTTCTCTCCCCCCTCTCTCTCTTCCAGTTTCTTGCCATGTGGTGACCTGCATGGCCTCTGGACTTTGCCTTCAGGAGAGCCATCCATGGATGTTCCCCCTCAACCTTGGCCACTGTCAGCTAAAATAAACTTCTTTTCTGTAAAACTTACTATCTGTGTTATTCACAACAGAAAATGGATTAAGACACCAATTTAAAGATGGAAAAAATTATTACATTCATATGTCAAATTCTGAGAAATTCATCATTAGGTGATTTTGGTCATTGTTCAAGCACAAAATGTACTTATCCAAACTATGATGGCTGCAACATCACCAGGTGATATAGTTTTATGGGACTACTATGGTACATGTAGTTTATTGTTGATGGACAGTCATTATGTGGGGCATGAGTATATGTATATATTTGATCCCTAGGTATACATAATTTTAATAGACAATAGAAAGAAAATGTAAAACAATTAATCTCCTGCAGATTAGATTAACATTCTGGTCTAAAAGTTAATTTGAATAAGGTAAGCCAGGGCACTTGTCTCAAAATACTAGATTTCTCAACCAAAGTTCTATGATCGGGGGAATAATTTTTGAAATACAATTATTTTGGGAGAAAGCAGCTTATACTACAGATCTCTTTCTGAATCCCATGGACTTAAAATGAAAAAAAAAAACCTAACTCACTTTTTACTGTATATACTAATCAAAAACTGATATTAAATCAACGAAAGCAACCAACCAGGCTGCCTGAATTCACATTGTTTATTACCACAAATTTGAATGTTTCAAAATGGTCAACAATCCTAGCATGTTTCCTAAAGCATTTCAATTTCCAGTCTCCAGAACAATTGTTTCACACTTTCCTTCAGAAGATGTTACATAGCCAGCTCTTAGTTTTCTCTCAGAGGAAACTGCCATCATCTTTACACCTGCAATTAATTAAACTACATACCTCTCTACATATTTTTCTTCTAACCCCCATCACAATTATTAAATGTACCCAGTCCTAATAAGAACTAGCCCCTATATTATGCACTACAGCTTCCATCCTCTGTGATTTTACTCTTAATTATTGCATCTGACATTATTGCTGCTTCTGTCTTCTCTTTATTTCTCCCTGTCTAGAAATGGTATATAGTGTCTTCCATATATAAAATCCTTCCTTTAATCAAAAATTCCATCTCATACTCTGCAAAATATTGCTCTATTTACTAACTTTATTACCTCTCAAGAATTTATAAAGTGTCTTTAAAAATAATATAAATTATTCATGAAAACTATACTGAATTTATAAAACTTTACTGTAAAGAATACCAATTGTATAGTAATTCATCTAATTTGTTTAGTGCTGATATAAACAGTATTTTCTAAATCCATTTACCTAATAAATTTTTATTTCGATATTGTCTTAATTGTAAGTTGATTCTATTGATATTTCAAGATGGCAAGATAACATCACAAATTAAGGAAAGTTTATTCTTCATCAAATATTTCTTTCTTTTTCTTTCCCTCAGTATAATAGCCAAAGTTGCCAGTACTGTTTTATTATTAAGAGTGATGTTAGATAACTTTGTCTTGGGTAACAAAGACTTCGACAAAAAAGCAATAGCATCATGTATTTACACAATATTCCATAGTTTTCATCAACTTCAAGTTTATCCCTCTAATTCCCTTGAGTGAAAATATCTTACTAATAGTACATATCACTTTCCACACTCTAAGGACACATAGAAAAAATATTACAAATGATATTCTCTTCAAGTATAACATACCTTTCCAACTTGTGTTAGAATATGAAAGAATTTGGAGGGAAATGGATGGCATTAGAGCAGATTATGCTAAGCGAAGCTAGCCAAGCCCTAAAAAACAAATGCCAAATGTCTTCTTTGATATAAGGAGAGTAATTAAGAACAGACTAGGGAAGAAG